ATGTTTATGTTTTACAGTAAATCATTGTATGTATTTACCTAGATAGTGATGAATGTTTTCAAATTCTTTCTTAATGTCCCAATTAAACAGTGCTTGTACAGCACTAATACCTACATCTGCCTATCCCTAATAAACTATTCCTTGGATGTTTTTCTTCCCCTTTCCATCTTGTCCTATCCTATTAGTTTCACTTATAGTAATTTCTATTATTTATAATTATATGAAATGCTTATTTGTCTACTTACTTATATATTGTCATTACTATATAGACAACCAAAAATATCTTACAGTGGGCCTGGCTTACTATAGGGGAGGTTAAAATTACTTTTCTGGGTTGAATGAGTATTTAGTAAAAGATTTTATTACCTTTTTGACTAATAAATTTTCTTTATATTTTGTAAACCTAACTCTTTCTCTACTAACTTGCTACTAATGTTCTCATTTTATTTTTGGTTTATGATAGGTGTTTAATGCCAGAATCACATTAGATTAACTTTAGTATATTGCTCTTTACCATTGTGATTTCTAAGACATATTTTATGTCTAAGACATATTTGGTCTTTTTTTATTGGTGCATATTAATGATACAGAATGGTGAGTTTCATTAATGATTTGATGTTTTACCTTTAGCTCTTAAGTGGCTTGGAATTTGTTTTTGATACATGATAGAATTAGTTAATTAATAATTTTATTTTGATAAATAATCTATTTTCTCAACTTTTAATCTCATATTTCCTTAATATTTCTTTATGATTCTTCATGTATAATATATTAATTTACTATATTAACTTGAGGTTCTTCTTTACATGCATTAGCATTTGTTCTATTTATTTCCCTATTAATCCTTTTGGTAGTAATTCAGTGTTTTAATTATTATTGCTGTATAACAATTACATTTTCTTTTTTTTAATATTGATTTTTTTAGTTGTAGTTGGACACAACACTTTCATTTTATTTATTTTTATGTGATTCTGAGGATCGAACCCAGGGCCTCGCATGTGCTAGGCGAGTGCTCTACTGCTGAGCCACAACCCCAGCCCAACAATTACATTTTCTAATGTGCTTTCACATTCTTTAAGGCAAGACCCTTCTATTATTTTTCTCTTTCCAGTTTTTCTTAATTTGGCCCTATAGCACTTTCTTAGTTTTTGTCCCAGATTTAGACAAAAGTTATACTGTCAAGTTTGAATTTCAGTGTTATAAGCTTTCATATCTTTGTGCATGTGTGACTTTATCATTTCATGTGGAGAGATAGAAGACAATGAATTTGAGGGCGCTAAACAAATAATATATCACTAGATGCTTCTAAACTATTACTTAATAAATATTTATTTGAAGAATTGTGTCCCTTAAGTCTGTGAAATGATTAACTTCAACATCTGGAATTTCTCAGTAGAATTGTTTGTGGGTAGAGCATGATTACACGGATTAATCATTATCCACTGAGGGGAGGGAGAAGGAGTCTTTAATTCAATCTCATGCTGCTTTCTTATGCCAGATGCATTTATTTCTCTGTGTAGCACTAACTGTTCAATATAATTAGTTAATTTCACTTTCTCTGTAGAAAAGTATTACAGTCCCATTGTTGTTCCCATGAAAACTTGTGCCTCACACAAAAGCCATTCAGTAAATACACTTGTGGGGGCATTAGTTAGACAGGCTACTACAGATTAGGGAATTCTTTCCTATAGATTTCAGATATTATCTTACAGAATTCTAAGCTGTAGAGTTGGCAGAGGCTAGTGATCAGATAAATTGAAAACACATCCCCAGAGGTTCACTAATAGTCACAAAGCTGTTAGGTCAGATACAAAGGTTAAAAGTAAATGACTATTTTTCTAAAGAGCTTAAGATAGCCCTAGACAATGTTAGTTCTAAACATGGACCATATCGTCTCTCCACAACCATGAGGCTAGTCTGCAACGTCTTGAGTGTAGTTGTGGCTTCTTCAGAGAAATTCAGCTGCATATAAGCAAATAAAAAGCTCAGCAGAAGCAGTAGTAAACACAATGCAAAAATAGTTTCTGAAAATCTGCAGGGAAGAGCTGAGTTTTGAAAGTTGAATAAGAATATAGGCAAATCCATTTCTAGGTAAAAAGATAGTATAATCAAAATTGTGTGGGCATGACAATGCTTGCCCCATTCAAGAAAAACAAATTGTCCAATATGATCTGAGTCGATGTGCATTGCAGGGGTGGAAAATTAATTATCTCTATATACTTCATTGTTCTTAATTGGGACAATCTCTATAACAAAAGGCAGGTTAACAAGAGAAAAACCAACAGAAATTTAACAACACATGTATCTCATGGGAGATACCCAGGGAAGTGAGTAAATCTTTAAAAGATGGCTTTAAGTTTGTGTTTAAATACCATCTTTAGCTGAAACAAAGATAGAAGGTGGCTAAGGAGATAGCCAGGTAATAGGAAAATAGCCAGGAAAAGCACAATAAATATGAGTAAGCATCACTATATAGATTTATGCTACCTTCTCTATTGACTCATCCTTCTCTTCCTGCTACAGAAAAGAAGAACTTTCATAAATGAAGGTTTCCTTCATAGATGTAAATTTCCCCCATATAGAAGCTAACTTCTGCTCTGCTCTCAGAGCTTCTCCTCTTGTCTGCAGGTTTTTTTCAAAATAATCTTTACACCAAAGGGACGTGCTTTGGAGTGGCATATTCTGCTCTTCTACAGCACACATGCAATGTTGGAAATAAAGCTAGTACTGAGGTAGGGGTGACCCCTTATGCCATACTATTGATTGTGAAATTTATCCAGTGGGTAATTCAGAGGTTGCAGTACTAGAAAATGATATGGTCTTATGTACATTTTAGAAAACAAAACAAAACTGGCCACAAACTAGGGAGCTGAAGCCAAGAAAATAGTTGGGAATAATTTGTTCCTGCCAGCTAAATGTAGAGCTTGCCTTCCATTGTTCTCTTGCGTTGGAAGAGAATTAAAGAAAAGGAAGAGGGGAAAAGGAGAAAGCTAAAAGAGAACAGAAAGAACTCTCTGGAGCAACTTATATGCATCAAAAGGAGGAAAGAGGAAGTGAAACTTGCATTCCTCTCACCTCCAGATCTTCTCTGGCATCTTGGCCTGGAGACTAGGAGCTACCTTGTGAATACTGACTCCTGAGTGTTGATACCATCCTCTCTTTTGCTTCTTACATTTGATTTTGTCCATAAATCCTTTTCAATTTGAAAGACCTTTCTCATTGCCCTCCCTGCCATCACCAGCAGGAGTTTCCAGTTTAAACATTCAGCACCTAGTTGATATCCTGGAGGCCTTGCTTCTCCCTTCTTGTTAAATCTCCCATAGATCACCCTCACCAAACCGCTTTTACCATCAGGAGCCTTGCTCAGAGGTTTATTTTAGGCTGCTGTGGTGGCACAGGACTGCATTCCCAGAGACCTTCAGTGGGAAGTTGAGGAGGTTGAGGCAGGAGAACAGCAAGTATTAAGGTCAGCTTCAGCAACTTAGAACTTTCCTCAAAAGAAATAAGACTGGCAATGAAACTCCACAGTAAAGAGCCCCTGAGTTCAATCCAAGTACCAAAAAAAAAAAAAAAAAAAAGCTGAATTTGTGGGGACAAAAGTCAAATTTTCAGAATATACTTAAAACCCCTATCCTATCTACCCTCATGAGTGCTCTCATTTTCTGCCTGTGATCATACTTTTCCTCTTGTAGACACCCTTAGCATCCCTTCCTTCATTATACCCAAGTCAAAACCTTTCAGTGCTCAAAGTTCAACTCAAATTCTTTTCTTTTTTTCCTCTTTTTTTGCAGTGTAGGAATTGAACCTCATCTATGCTAGGCAGGTGTTCTACCCTAAACTACAACCGTAGCTCTGTTTCTTGCTACACATTGGTTTTTTTTTTGTTGTTTTTTAGTTTTTTTTTTTTTTTGAGGGGGGCATGCCACTTTCATTTTATACAAGGGCTTAAAATTTAACTGAGAAAACCCTCTTCATTTGTTGAACATGTATTATTGACCCAAATGTTTGGTAAGGTCTCACAAATATTCCAATAACTCCCAATTCGAACATACTTAGTTCAACTTCACCAATATTTATTCTACAATATATACAAGGCATTGTTATAAACATTCTCAGACTGCCATTGTTAAAGGATAAATGTGTCAAATGTCTGCTCTTGGGAAGAATAGTCCACATATTTATTAATACTGGAAGACCAATTATACTTCATCCATATGATTAATAATTTGTGACTTTTTAAACCAGATACTCTTCCCCCATTGAATTGATGAGTTCTATAAATAGAAGGAATTGTGATAGAAGCTACATCAATGTGTTTAATTGCACACATTTTACATTTCACGTCAAGAATCCAGGCTTAGTAGATACAGAAATATAATCAAGCCTTCAACATCATACTTGATCTTGAAACACATATTGATCTTGAAACACTATTGCTAATAACTCCATATATATTAGAAGTGCTTCACTCAAGGGTCTAGAAATTTAGGGAACTATGGTCCATTCATCTTCCCTACTTCCTTATGTAAGAACTTATGCTGTGTTAAGATTTCTTTGGGAAAAAGGGAGGGAAGAAAAAGAAGAAGAAAAGGTTTTTCTATTAGTTTTTAAAGAAAGTAAAAGTAATTTCTATAATTATCTCACCTGAAACCTTAAAAAATGAGTTATTAGCAGAAATCTAAGAACTGCCTATAAGGATGATGAGCCTTATAAAAATCAAAGACCAAATGCTTGGTGTGCCACCTCTTGAATTTAGGCCAAGAACCATCTGTCCTCTGGTGTTCGTAGCAAAAATTGTCAGGAAATAAGGTGTTAGGAATCAATGTCTCCCTCAGATAGAAAGCATATTTTCCAAAAGTATGGGAATTTTATCACAGAAGTATCTGAATACCACAGGGAAAAATAAAGAATTTAGCCTCATAGGAAAGCAGAAAAGTACCCAGTGTTACAGTCTTTGGCCAATGCTTTCTAATTCTTCTTTTTCATATCTTTAAATACAGAATCCCCTTCACCTACAACTGAGTTTAGAAAATTCATTAAGTTCTGATGCTGATGTCACTGTCTCAATCCTGACCATGAACAACTGGTACAATTTTAGCTTGTTGCTGTGCCAGGAAGACTGGAACATCACTGACTTCCTCCTCCTCACCCAGAACAATTCCAAGTTCCACCTCGGGTCTATCATCAACATCACGGCTAACCTCTCCTCCACCAAGGACCTCTTGAGCTTCCTGCAGGTCCAACTCGAGAGCGTTAAGAACAGCACACCCACAATGGTGATGTTTGGCTGCGACATGGAGAGTATCCGGCAGATATTTGAAATTACCACCCAGTTCGGGGTAACACCCCTTGAGCTTCATTGGGTGCTGGGAGATTCCCAGAATGTGGAGGAACTGAGGACAGAAGGTCTACCCTTAGGGCTCATTGCTCATGGAAAAACTACACAGTCAGTGTTTGAGCACTACGTGCAAGATGCCATGGAACTGGTCGCAAGAGCAGTAGCCACCGCCACCATGATCCAGCCAGAACTTGCTCTCCTTCCCAGCACGATGAACTGCATGGAAGTGAAAACTACAAATCTCACTTCAGGACAATATTTATCAAGGTAGGATTCAAGGGCCATGAGAGGAAGTAAAATTTTCCTCTCTGTCCCCTATGATTCTGAGTAGTCTCAAACTCTAGTAATATTTCTGAAAGTGCTTCCAGTTACATAAGGTTAGTATATTCATTTATCAGCTGTAATTTTATGTACCAATGTGACAGCGAGTACTCCGTCTTGCCTTTAGACCTTGGTTTAACCCCTTACTCACCATTGGTTTGGGCAAGTTATTTAAAACCTCTGAGCCTTAGTTTTCTAACTAGCTGGATAGAGAATAATAATGACACCCTTATTAACATTAAAGAACCTTAATTAACATTAAAAGTACCTAACACCGTATGGACTCATGGTAACTAAATAAAACTATTTCTTTCCTGCCTATTCTTTTTCATATAGATAGGCTTAAAAAACTTTCTAAATATATAAAGAAGAAAAAATTACTCAAGCAGGAAATCTACTTTTCTCTCTGCCCCCAGGCCTTGATACTTAGAACAGTTATAAAGATTAAAGACAGAATCTAGAGTTAGACTGAGTTTGAATTTTAGCTCTGTGACTTGCTACTTCCATTACCTAATCAAGTTACTCAACTTTGCTCAGTCTTAGTTTCTTATGTTTTGTATCAATTTATGGATAAAATGGATATAGCACTGGATCCTGTGACCCATGGAATTGGAATATATTATAGATAAATGGCTTCATAGATAGATAAGAAGATAGATCTATGAATTCCATCAGAGTATTTTTTTTTATTTTTAGCAATTATTATTTATTATTTGGGACATAAATAATTACACATACATATATTCAAATTAGGCACCTTTCTGCTTAGTACCTCAAACTGACTCCAAAGCTAGAATGAAACAGCTTATTTAAAATAAAGAGTAACCCGTCATATGGAAATGATTTTCATAATACCTGGGAAAAGAAGATATTTTGTAGGGGCCTAGATTTTCTTCTGATAAAGGATCACCTATGGTCAGAGATGCCAAGTCAGAGAATTATTGGTATTCCAGAGGTGAGAGTTCACCTGTAGTCTAGGCCCTGCTTTTAGGCAGTCCTCTTAGAACAATGACAGTTGACAATACAAAGAAACACAAGACGACCTCGTAGAGTCTTGCCTTTAAAGAATAAAAGTTCAGGGGGAGCCTCAGAATTTTACATTTAATTTTACATTTGTGGATTGGGTACTACCATATTCAAGGCAACATGCTAAATGCCAAATATAAGACTAAGCAAAATCTACAAACTCCTTTCAGAATGTTGTTGATAAAATATAAAATAATTCAGACTTTTATTTCTTAAAAATCTGTCAATGATAAAATTAGATGTTCTATCATCAGAACTTTCCATTTCTCGATATTACCTTTGAATCTCCATAAGATTAAAGTCTATGCCTATTCTATTTTACAATTGCTGTCCAGTTTAATCTACTCTTTATAGATAACTGAAGCTCAGGATTTTATCTAAGAAAAGAAACATTCCCCTTCACAGAAAACATATAAGCAAAGCTTTGATTTATAATTTCAAACAGGCATTATTTTGGAAAGAGAATCACAAACAACAGACAAGAAAAACCACTAGTGAAAGCTACATTAAGTTGTTTACCATCTTTCTGTCCTCATGTAAAATGAAGAACACAAGAAAAATGATTCTGTGTGGATCCTAAACAAAGAATATTTGTTGACTTAGGTTGCATATATCTTAGGGATTCATTTTATCAAGATCAACCAATATATCTGGTTCCCCAAGATGTAGTTTATATCAAAATGACGTGCCTCTTTCCACAAGGATCCTCTGCACTTTGAAAGTACATGATGGCACTTACTCTACTCTGTCACCATTATTTGTCTCTGTGTCTTACTTCTGAATTAGAATATAAATTCTATTAAGTGGAGACAGTATGATTCAGCCCAATCCAAAACCTAGCATGCAGCAGGCACTTAATAGATATTTATTGACAAAGGAAGAAGGAAAGGAAACTTACTATTATATGCATATCCTAAATTTTCTGTTGCTGTAGAAGAAAATGGATAGTTGGTAGAAAAATAGTATCTAAATTATAAACATTTTTTTTTCTTACATAGATAGTACTGTCTGGTTATCTTTTTTTCCCTTTTTTCTTTTTCTTTTTCTTTCTTTCTTTCTTTTTTTTTATTTTTGTATGTGTGTGGAATGTTAAGTTAGTGGATTATCTCTAACCTCATCATGACTATTTCCACATTTTTATTCCACAAATTTTGAAAACTGTGAAAGAAGAGTGTGAAGTTTGGAACTCAGCAGCAATTCACAACGTATTAGGGTCAGTGACAATATTTTCATCCCCATAGATGTGTTTGAGAAATGAACTCAAAGAACTTCAGAAACTATGCCTGGGACTTCTTAAACTCCCTGAGGAATGCAGTCAAAGAGAAACTTTCAAAGTGTTCAGGAAAGGGTCAAGGGAAGTGGGTGAAACCCTGGAAGGAGTCTTTATAATGAATAACTTAAAATCTGCCTTAAGCCATGAAACATCTGTGGATCTTTCATCATCCTTATTTATTTGGTTTAATTCAATCTTTTAGAAAGTTAGTTATTCTCAGTCCATAAGTCACATCTGCATATAGTAATTTTCTTAATTGTTTCTAAATTTTGTGAGGCTGACCCCACTACCTCACTGCATAATAAAAACCGGGAGGATAATGAGCCATGTCAGAGTTATGCAAGCTTTCATTTCTCACACAGTCATTTTTAGTTTGGGCTGACAGTATTGTTAACATTTTAAAATGTTAACAGAATCACCAAAAACATGGCATTTTCAGTATAGGCTTTTAGACTAGAAAAATCATTTCTAATGGCAGAGTACATAGACATAATTACAGGTATAAAAGATTTTATTCTTCCCAGTTCCCTGCATGCCAGAGTAAATGTCCATCATAACTAAATGTACAAAAACTGTTTGGGGACCCAGTTTCTTGTGGGATATTTAATAATTTCTTTATAAGTTGCTTTACTAAATGTTAATTATTTGGAGCCAGTATAGCTGGCACATTATTCTGATAATTCTTCCATAAATGCACATGTCAGGATGCATCTGTCCAACCAATGACCATTTGTTGAACTAGGGAGGAGTCAATAAAATAAAGACTCAAATCTTGCCATTTTTGGAGTTGACAATCTAACACATGAGGTTTAAAAGTAAGCAAGAGTTATAAACAATTCGATGTGTGATTTTTAAGAATAGAGATGTGGCCAGGCATGGTGGCACACTCTTGACTCCAGAGAGTCAAGAGGCTGAGGTAGAGGATCCCAAGTGTGAGGGTAGCCATAGGAACTTAGCAAGACCCTGTCTCAAAATAAAAAATTAAAAGGGCTGGAATGTAGCTGTGTGGTTAAGCAACCCTGGATTCAATCTTCAATACCAAAATAAAAATAAAAATTTGTTCAGAAACACAGAGAAAGAAATAACTAACTCTTCTTAGACATTTGGTGATGGACTTTGATTTTTCAGGTTTGGAGCAAATGGACAGGCAAGGAAAATGTCATATGCGGATTTTTCAAGACCAGAAAAGGAAAATTAGTACTGTTGGAGCATTAATTGCATATGAAGAGAATTTGAGAAGATTCTGGAAAAGTAATTAATTTGACAGCATAGTACTCGGGGTTTTTTATGCTACACAAAAGGGTTTGCATCATAAGCACAGTAGACATCAGCAGAATGGCAGAACATTAGCCATGACACATTTATAAAATTATAGTCTTGTAACAAATTAACCAAATAAAATGAGAGAGTAGAAAAGTCTTGAAAATAAATTTTAAAACCATTAGGATACAAAAATTATTTTTATTTCACAAAATTAATTTCAGCCTTGCCCACATTTCCCTCCTTCCTGTACCATGAACACTAAACTTATAAAAATGAACAAATTTTGAGGATTTACCTGCTGTTCCTAGGAATAAGATTTGTATCTACTGATCTGAAGGCCCTGGTTGCTAATGAATCCATTGTTCTTAGAGAAAGACCTTCATGGGTTACTCATAGTCAGGTCAAGGGCACTTACCCTTTAAATTTCTAAGAGTATAGACCCCAGTAAATACCCCTTATCCTTGGCCTGAAAAAAGTCCCTGACCATTTGCCTAAGTAATTATAATCCTGATAGTTATTTGAGCTTCTAAGAGGGATGTGAAATCCTGACTTTCTTCTTCAAACAGCTTCTGAACTTCATTTCTGTATCCTGCAAGAGTTCTATGAAGCAAGAAATAATTAATTCATTTATTCATCCAAACATTTATTGAAATTTGCTAATATTAAGTAGGAAAAACCCTCAACTTGAGACACAAAGAGTAAAAAATAGAGGGTCCTGCTCTCAAGAAGCTGACAATCCCTTGCATCTATTCTCACACCAGCAAAGGATAGACCCACCTAATTATCTATACTTTTATCCATTTTTCTTGACCTGGATATTTGATTATCATTATTTATTGAGCCAATACCCATTCTATTTGTGATTATTCTTTGGCACTAGCTGGCATTTTTAGTTCCCCTTTCAGTTGACCTTGAAACTGGATCCAACATGTTAAAATCTTTTTCCCCTACAAATTATGTTCATCTTGATGTTTACGTAGTCAAGCAATACAGAGACTAATTGGCCTTTCCTTAACAGCAAATCCTTTAATTATTGATTCTGCACATATTATTAAGAACCTATTAATGAGCTGGGGTTATAGCTCAGTAGTGGAGTGCTTGCTTTGCACATGTAGGGCACTGGGTTCGATCCTCAGCACCACATAAAAATAAATAAAGTTATTGTGTCCATCTACAACTAAAATTACAAAAAAAAAGTGAAGTTATAATTATAAAAGGAGAACCTATTCTATGTTCGTGTAAATATATCAAAATAGATTCTACTATCTTGTATAACTAAAAATAACAAATAAAAATTTTTAAAAAGACCCTATTATGTGCCAGGTATGTTGAGATACTAGAAAAGTTTCAGAAAAAAATACCAAAATAAATACCCATTCAAAAA